CTAAGGGGAGGACTATGTCCAGCAGTGAACTTTTGATATGCTGTAACAATAATTGGTAGAAGGGTGATACCGATGCAGACGGAATCCTAGTATATTAGCTAATTAGGGGTGATTTTTGATTCACCTATTGTAATACTAGATGGCGGTAGGTACTATGTGGCGTTAGAACCACTTCATTATTGGTTGTGAATTTTTACTTTTATATTACAGACTATATATAACTTGGGCCGGCAGACTAAAAACATAAATCAAAAAGTCACACTTTTCAGGAATAAGTGAAAACTAAATAAAAATACCCTTATACTATAAATTCAAGTTTATTACAATATTCAATGTTTTTATTAATACTAACATGCACGTAAATATAATTTGATATAAATTTAAAATAAAACGCGATTTTAGTGACTTATGTTAGAAATAACACTATGTACTTGTAGGTACTTGTGACTTAAGTATTTGATAACAGTACATTTCATTATAAACTGGTATCGAATCTGGTGTGTTTCCTCATTTAATGAAACATAGTAAAAAATACATTTATTTAAATCTGGTACATTGGAATCCGCTAATTTTAGACCTATTTCTGTACTACCAACTCTCAGTAAAATTTTTGAAAAGATCAATTTTTTTTTTTATAAAAATAAATTACTTCACAAAAATCAATTTGGTTTCACAAGGGGAGTCACTAGATGCCTTCGATATTTTTTGTAATTTTTCCAAGGCACAAAAAATAACTAAGGCGTTTTATACGTGGTAGAGCCATGCTACAATTATTAGTAGTATAGTTGTAGTACGAATGGGTCAGCTGGTCCGGGGAAGGACCACGCTCTCACAGAATACCAGCGTAAAATAGTAGCTTAATGCTGCTGTGTTTCGTATATTGATTGTAGAGAACCGGAGACCCGTTTTATTGGAAACGAGGCATTCCAGTTAGTCTTAGTCCTCACGGGTGATAATGCATCTGCATTTTGATTCGTAATCGAGGATAGATGTAGATGTTTATGGGCCATAGCAACCACTTACCATCAGATGGACTATGTGCTCGTTTGTCACCCAATCCTATTAAAAAAAGTCTTTCGAATGTGTTCATCATGAGATATTAATCAGGAAACTACAAAATTACGGTGTCAAAAATATTTCACTTAGACTTATTATTTCATATTTAAATAACAGAACTCAAAAAGTTGTTATCAATGGTAAAGGTTCCTCCGGATCAGCAGTATCAATGGGCGTTCCTCAGGGCTCAATTCTTGACTCATTCTTGTACTTATTCTATATTATTGACTTACCTTATCTTGAAGGGGACAATCACGATATTGTATTATTTTCTGATGATACCTCTTTAATTTTCAAACTCATTCGACAGTGAATTAATTTTGACAATGAAAATAATGCTCTATCGAAACTAGTACATTGGTTTAACGCTAATAATTTGCTCTTAAATGGCAATAAGACAAAATGTATTAAATTTACAATACCTAATGTTAAACATTCAAATACCAATGTGCTCTTAAATGGGGAAGAGTAGAGTCTTGTGGATACCACTGTTTTTCTTGGTATTAGTATTACTATTGACGCGAAGCTTCAATGGGGCCCCTATATATCTAAATTAGCAGGCAGACTTAGTTCTGCAGCATATGCTGTAAGAAAGATTAGACGTCTAACCAATGTTGAGACAGCTAGATAGTTTATTTTAGTTACTTTCATAGAATAACGTCTTATGGAATCTAACTATGGGGTAATGCGACTCACATTAAAGTCATATTTGTTTTAGAAAAGAGAGCTGTACGGGCGATTTATAACTGAAATTGTAAAGAGTCCATTTGAGAATAATTTATGGAAATAAACATAAAAACATAAATAGTTTTCGTATAGAATAAAGATGTTCATACTTTAAACACTAGGAACAAACATAAGCTTATAATACCAGTTACAAGACTCCACAGAATTAGTAATTCATTTATGAGGCAATGTATATGCTTTTACAACAAAATCCCAGAAAATGTACAAAATTTGTAATTAAACTAGTTTAAATGTTTTATTAAAGAAAAATTGTACAAAAAGGGTTATTATAATATAAATATCCATAAATGAAAATAACCCCTGGGAATGAGGTGATCACCAGTATGCTGGTTCTATAAAAGTTCTAAATTGTACAAAATAAAATTATTATAATTTGAAATATGTTTAAAAAAACCCAGCGGTTTTCTTGCTGGTTCTTCCGAGGACAGAGGTTTTTTTTACGAACCAGTGGTAAATAAAAAAATGACTTTCAATAAGTATTATACAATAATCTATATTGGAATGAATTGAAATCATTCATTTCATTTTATTTCACAAATACAAGCTAAAAAAAAAAATTCTATGATAACAAAAAAACAAAACTTAAAATTAATTTACCACGGATCATCTATATATCTATATACTAAAAATTATTTATTATATAAAATATCAGGGTCAATATTACGTATATTGTTTACAGTAGGCAAATCTAAATAAAATCTATGAAAAATGTCGGGTATCAAGGACAGTAAAGAAATCAGATATTTTTTTCCTCTTGATATCGGAAAGGGCTGTACCGATATAACAGGAATAGTTTCAGGTATGGCAAAAACGAGACGATTGAAGTTTATTTTAAAAAAATGACATTCCGTGTCCAGTGTGCCTTTGTAGGAGATTACGCCAAATTCAGAACAGCGCGGCCCCTTTTTATTGAGCCATTTAAACTGTCGTACTTCTACGTCTTTGTTTCTTAATACTAAAGGACCCTTTAACAACGTAGAAAAATCAAAAAATTCGGAACTGCGCATTTCGATAACTCCGTTTTTTTTACTGCTCGATCTAATAAGTTGTATCCAATCATGCGGGTGATAAATCTGCAATCTCTGCCTTTTTTTCTTGTTTTCTATGATTTGTGTCCACTTCCAAGTGACTATGATCCGGAACCGAGAACTTGTTGTTCTATGATTTGTGTCCACTTCCAAGTGACTATGAACCGGAACCGAAAACTTGTGTTATATGATTTGTGTCCACTTCCAAGTGACTATGATCCGGAACCGAAAACTTGTGTTATATGATTTGTGTCCACTTCCAAGTGACTACGATCCGGAAGCGAGAACTTGTGTTCTATGATTTGTGTCCACTTCCAAGTGACTATGATCCGGAACCGAGAACTTGTGTTATATGATTTGTGTCCACTTCCAAGTGACTATGATCCGGAACCGAGAACTTGTGTTATATGATTTGTGTCCACTTCCAAGTGACTATGATCCGGAACCGAGAACATGTGTTATATGATTTGTGTCCACTTCCAAGTGACTATGATCCGGAACCGAAAACTTGTGTTATATGATTTGTGTCCACTTCCAAGTGACTATGATCCGGAACCGAAAACATGTGTTCTATGATTTGTGTCCACTTCCAAGTGACTATGATCCGGAACCGAGAACTTGTGTTCTATGATTTGTGTCCACTTCCAAGTGACTATGATCCGGAACCGAGAACTTGTGTTCTATGATTTGTGTCCACTTCCAAGTGACTATGATCCGGAACCGAGAACTTGTGTTCTATGATTTGTGTCCACTTCCAAGTGACTATGATCCGGAACCGAGAACTTGTGTTCTATGATTTGTGTCCACTTCCAAGTGACTATGATCCGGAACCGAGAACATGTGTTCTATGATTTGTGTCCACTTCCAAGTGACTATGATCCGGAACCGGAAACTTGTGTTATATGATTTCTGTCCACTTCCAAGTGACTATGATCCGGAACCGAGAACTTGTGTTCTATGATTTGTGTCCACTTCCAAGTGACTATGATCCGGAACCGAAAACTTGTGTTATATGATTTGTGTCCACTTCCAAGTGACTATGATCCGGAACCGAGAACATGTTGTTCTATGATTTGTGTCCACTTCCAAGTGACTATGATCCGGAACCGAGAACATGTGTTCTATGATTTGTGTCCACTTCCAAGTGACTATGATCCGGAACCGAGAACTTGTGTTCTATGATTTGTGTCCACTTCCAAGTGACTATGATCCGGAACCGAGAACATGTGTTCTATGATTTGTGTCCACTTCCAAGTGACTATGATCCGGAACCGAAAACTTGTGTTCTATGATTTGTGTCCACTTCCAAGTGACTATGATCCGGAACCGAGAACTTGTGTTCTATGATTTGTGTCCACTTCCAAGTGACTATGATCCGGAACCGAGAACTTGTGTTCTATGATTTGTGTCCACTTCCAAGTGACTATGATCCGGAACCGAGAACATGTGTTCTATGATTTGTGTCCACTTCCAAGTGACTATGATCCGGAACCGAGAACTTGTGTTCTATGATTTGTGTCCACTTCCAAGTGACTATGATCCGGAACCGAGAACTTGTTGTTCTATGATTTGTGTCCACTTCCAAGTGACTATGATCCGGAACCGAGAACATGTGTTATATGATTTGTGTCCACTTCCAAGTGACTATGATCCGGAACCGAGAACATGTGTTCTATGATTTGTGTCCACTTCCAAGTGACTATGGTCCGGAACCGAGAACTTGTGTTATATGATTTGTGTCCACTTCCAAGTGACTATGATCCGGAACCGAGAACTTGTGTTATATGATTTCTGTCCACTTCCAAGTGACTATGATCCGGAACCGAGAACTTGTGTTCTATGACATTTATGTTTAATTTCTGAAAAGCCCAGGTCACCATTGAACTGACATGAGAATTTCGGTTCTGACCGCCATAAGTATCAGAATAAAATATCAAGTGTTTTTTATTCTCAGGTACTTATGTTTGAATATGTTTGAAAACACATGATGCTATTTGATTAACTCCTCTAGTAACTATGGTTTCATACCATATGAAACATACAGCTGTCCCAATTTTGTTGTCATGAACAGTCAGGTTGAACTTCCACAACTGGTGTTTGTAGAAATATACAGAATAGCTGAGAGCTCGAGTGCGTACCTATACACTGTTGTAAGTCAAATGTATAAACTTACACAGTACTGTCATTTTTATTTACTTGAGTATCACATTTTTCTTTTCCTGTTTCGTGATGTAAATACTTTTTTTTTAGAGATTGTTCAACCGCCTGTGGCGTGTTGGTTCTTCGGTCAGTACCCGGACGACACGATATATCACTAGATGTCGACGAATCTGCTGCTGTATTAGGGAGTTCGAAATGTGGATCTTGGACAGAATCATTACTCAAGAAATCCATTTCTCGATTAATGAACATGTCGCCAGTGTAGCCTGATGATGTGGAAGGCATTGGTTCCTCTTCCGCCATTGTGCCAACAGATTTCGGTTTATTTTGTTCACCTAAAAAATAAAAAAATACTGTTGAGGCTAATAATAAAATAATAATATAAATGATTTATTTATGATTGATGTTAAAATGAACAAATTAGTGATGATTTCTACTAAAACGACGACAAAAGATGATTATGTAATAAAATCCTATTAAATCAAACAAGGCCAACTTACCAAATAACATTTGAGTTTCTCCTCATCACCATCTCAACTAATTTCTTGTCTCTCTGACGATCCATAGCAATTGGGAATATTTTAACTAAAATATTACACACAACAACTGTCCAATTGTATAGCAATCAGAGTAAAACTAACCCGGCTAGTCAGTAGTGAATAGTGACCCAAATCTTAACAAATATATTTTTTTCTTAGCAATAAATAATGGTTTGGGTAACTACCCCTACAGTTAAACATCGACATAACGCGACGCATTTAAAGTTCCTAATAACATAAGTCACTTTATGTATCCATGAAGTCCAAGAGCGTCAACATAACTCAACTCAACTCATGTTTTTTATAACGTTGCAAGATCCATGGGAATCAAGAGGTTGAAAAAGGACGCCAATTGAGATTCAAGCCCTACCAAGTGAACTGACTATGTGCTTTAGTCTGCTGATATATTGATTTAAATTAATAATTTTGGTACAAAGAAAAACATAAAGCAATTTTTTGACTTATGTGCTTTAGTCCGCTGACACTAGACTATACTAAAAAAATGTAGTAAATTAAATGTTATAAACACACAGCTTCGCGTGTATCTATCAGATAGATACGTATGTAACGGAATCTTTTAATGTAATTTTCACCAACTTGTAGACCGCCGATTGATTTGAAAATTTGCACACCTATCGAGGACTGATGACAATACAATAATTTAATAACTTTATCCTAGTATCCTGATCAGGATCACCAGGATAAAATAAAATAATTAACAGTATCATCGCAGCTCATTATCAATGCGTGTCTTTAAACAAAAATTATTTTCAATACTCATGCAGTGACATAATTGTTTATTAAAACTGCAAATCACTGTAACATGAAGCTTGTCAAGACGTTACCCCTAGCAATTCGACGCCGTCGCCAGACACGTTTATTGTAATGACACCTAACACCCGAATGGACAAAAACTCGCTACCCAGAGAATTAATATAGGTACTCGTTAGTATTCATACATCATCATCATCATCATTACAGCCCTTCACAAGTCCACTGCTGAACATAGGCCTCCCCCAAGTAATGCCACAAAGCACGGTCCTGAGCCACCTGCATCCATCGACTTCCTGCATGTCTTACCAGGTCGTCACTCCATCTAGTGGGGGGTCGCCCTACACTACGCCTACCGGTACGAGGCTGCCACTCGAGAACCTTTCTTCCCCATCGGTTATCGGTTCTTCGAGCTATATGGCCGGCCCATTGCCACTTCAGCTTACTAATCCGTTGGGCTATGTCGGTCACTCTGGTTTTACTGCGGATATCCTCATTTCTGAGGCTATCACGCAGAGAAACTCCGAGCATAGCCCTCTCCATAGCTCGCTGAGCGACCTTAAGCGTCCTCATACGGCCAGCAGTGAAGGACCACGTCTCAGATCCGTAAGTCATCACTGGCAACACGCACTGGTTGTACAATCTAGTTTTTAGAGATTGAGGTATACCTGACGAAAAGATATGCCGTAATTTCCCGAACGCTGCCCAGCCGAGTTGAATCCGTCGATTGACCTCTCGGTCGAAGTTGGACTTACCTAGTCGGACTATTTGTCCCAGGTAAACGTATTCGTCAACAACTTCGAGCATAGTGCTCCCAACAACTACCGGCATAGGTGTGACATGGACATTGAACATGATCTTTGTTTTGTCCATGTTCATCTTAAGACCTATCCGTTGGGAGGCACTATTGAGGTCATTGAGCATAGTGCTTAAGTCCTCCAGCGATTCTGCCATAAGGACTATATCGTCGGCAAATCGAAGGTGAGTGATGTACTCGCCATTGATGTTAATACCGTATCCTTTCCAGTCCAGTAGCTTGAAAACGTCTTCCAATGCAGCGGTGAAGAGTTTCGGGGATATAACGTCACCCTGTCTTACACCTCTCTGCAGTTGGATAGGTTTCGAGCTCTGGTTCTGTACTCGGATAGCCATCGTAGCCCTACTGTACAAACACTTCAGCACTTCGATATACCGACAGTCAACTTGGCACCGCTGAAGGGATTGTAGCACCGCCCAAATTTCGACGGAATCAAAGGCTTTCTCATAGTCCACATACGCCAGGCAAAGTGGCAGATTGTACTCTTCAGTCTTCTGTACAATCTGCCGCAGGGTATGTATGTGGTCTATGGTACTGAAGCCTTTTCGGAAACCAGCTTGTTCGGGAGGCTGGAAGTCGTCAAGTCTGCGTGCGAGACGATTCGTAATGACTCTCGAAAACAGCACGTAGACGCGGCTCAGAAGGGAAATCGGTCTGTAGTTCTTTAAGAGAGCGTTGTCGCCTTTCTTAAAGAACAAGACCACCGCACTTCTGCTCCACGCCTCTGAGTAGTGCCACCATGGAGGACGGAATTGAAGAGCTTCTGAAGGACTTCAAGTACCGGTGTTCCACCCGCTTTCAGAAGCTCCGCTGTAATTCCATCCTCGCCTGGGGCCCTGCCGTTTTTAAGGTGCTGGAGAGCCATTCTAATCTCGCTTAGACTGACGTCCGGGATATCATCGGAATAGTGTCGGATAAGACTTGCTCTTGGATCGTTACTCACACTTGCGTGTGGCTCCAACGATGATGTGTACAGCTGCCCATAGAACCTCTCAATCTCACTCAAAATCTCAGGTGTCCCGGAAACGATGTTGCCACACTCAGTCTTCAGCCTTGACAGTTGGCTCTTTCTGGCAGACAGATCTCTGGCAAAGACTTTGGAGCCCTGGTTCCGCTCGATCGCTTCTTTAATACGAGAAGTATTAAAGTTGCGTAAGTCTCGCCGTATGCATTTGGAGATCTGTCTGTTCAGTTGCCTGTATGCTGTCAAATCTGTTGACGATTGCAGCCTCATCTCCCGTCTAACAGCCATGAGATTAAGAGTGTGATCGGAGAGTTTTTGTGTTCTTCTGCGGCGGGTCTTGCAGAACTTAGCTCCGACCGCATGGACAGTTTCCACGAGCTTGTCGTTCATATCGTCCACTGTATTGCAATCTTCTAGGCACTGGAAGCGGTTACGTAACTCGAGCTGAAAGGTTTCGGGATTCTGGATTAGAGCACGAGGGGGACGGAGCGTTGACTTCATTAGACGAGACCTCTCCAACTTAACGTTTAGGTTCAGTGTGCCTCTAACCATTCGGTGATCGCTGCCAGTTTTCACCCTTGCGATCACTGAGACATCACTGAACAGTTGGCGTCTGGTCGTCATAATGAAGTCAATCTCATTTTTTGTCGAACCGTCGGGGCTCGACCAGGTCCACTTCCTGTGGGGCCGCTTCTGGAAGAAAGAGTTCATCATAAAGAGTCCCTCTTTCTCCATAAAGTCGGCCAGCTGCTGGCCCCTTCGGTTCCGTTGCCCTACTCCAAATTTCCCTACCTTCAGCTCACCGCTTTCTCTTGTGCCCAGTTTTGCGTTGAAGTCTCCCATCAACACCGTGTAGTAGGTTTTGGAGGAATGTATGGCTCTAGAAATATCCTCATACATTTCCTCCACCTCCTCATCGGGATGTGCCGAGGTTGGTGCGTAAACCTGAATGACCTTCAGCGAATACCGATTGGTGATTCTGAGTATCAGGTACGCGACCCTCGTCGACACACTCCCAATCTTTACAACGTTGTTGACGAGAGATTTGTGGACGATAAATCCGACACCTCCTTGGGACAGATGGTCGCCCTCCCGGTGATAGAACAAGTTGCCGGACTCGAGGATTGCCGTGTCCTCCCCCCTCTCTTCGGACCTCGGATAATCCAATAATATGCCAGCGCAACTTGTCTACCTCTTCTTCCAGCTCCAGTATCTTCTCGTCAGTCCTCAGGGTGCGTGCGTTATATGTTGCCAGGTCGAGTCGTCGTAGGTGGCAACCGAACCTCCACCGGAGATTCTTAGCACCCCCTGCCCCGCCGTTACCATGGTCGCCACCGTAGCCAGGAATAGCGGGGCCGCCGGGGACTGGGGGCCGTCTGTTTGTGTATTTATTCATTGGGGGGTATTTGCCATAGTTGCCACGCTTGGCGAGCGGGTTGGCAACCGCAGTTTTTTATTACGTCACAGTTGTCATCAGGAAGACGCTGCTGCCCATCTCCTGCCTGTCTCCCTCTGTCGCCTCTTACGACACCCACGGGAAGATATGGGGTAGTGGATATTCTTAACCGCCACTACACGGCATAATATTCATATACTTCCATACTAATTGTTTCGGCAAATATTGTTAATTATAACAAAGGTATAATTAATATAATTTTATACGTGGTAGAGCCATGCTGCAGTTATATTAGTAGTATAGTTGTAGTACGAATGGGTCGGCTCGATCGGGGAAGGACCACGCTCTCACAGAATACCAGCGTGAAATAGTAGCATAATGCTGCTGTGTTTCGTATGGTTAGTGTAGAGAACCGGAGACCTTTTTTACTGAAAACGAGGCAATTCATCTTAGTCCTCACGGGTGACAACGCATTTGATTTGTAATCGAGGATAGATGAGGATGTCTATGGGCCGCAGCATCCACTTACCATCAGATGGACTGTGTCACCCTATCCTATAAAAAAAAAGAAAAAAAGGTAACTGTTGCGTTGTCATGTTTATTACACCTCACAGAGCCACGTTGCAGCTTTAATATGATTGTAGTACGAATGGGTCAACTCGACCGGGAAAGGACCACGGATTCACAGAATACCAGCGTAAAATAGCAGCACAACTTTGAACAGTGGTGGATCCACGCGGCAGCTTTGCTGTTGCACGTATGGGCCGGCTCAAACCGGGGTGGTACTACGACAAAATTCCGCTCAAGACAATAACT